CGGGGCTGGGGGGGCCGGGGGCGGCCACTGCACTCCAGTCTGGGTGACAGAGTGAGACTCCAACTCAAAAAAAAAAAAGAAAGGAATTGGCAGTAGTTGGAAACTGCCAGGGGAGGGGAAGGCAGGATTGGCAGTAGTGTAAAAATGCCAGGGTGAGAGAGGGGTACACCTCATTAACAAGGGTATACCTAACCCTGAATTGTACCCCACATCTTTAAAATAAAAATTTTTTAAAAAAGGAACATATGAAAACTTCCAAAAAGTTTTAAATCAGAGAGTTAATAGGCCACATTTTGTAATAGAAATCCACAAGTTAGAAGTAAATAAAATAAAAAAACTTAATTCTTAGTTTAAAGAAGAAAATGAAAAGGAAATTACAAATTGTCTGGAAAAGAATAAAAAGGATGACATTTTATTCCAAATAAAAATGAAAAGAGACATAATAACTAGATGCTTTTAAAAGGAAATATTAAAGGCCATTCTGTTATTAAAAAAATGATAACACTGTGTAAGTACCTAATGTTTTTCTAACAGAGAGACAAATAGATTATGCAATTTTGAATATTTAAAGTTCATTTTAGTTAAGCTAAGGTATATTTAATTTGTTTGAGTAAGACAGAACACAATAGAGCAAATCTCATGTTTTAATATAGTGGATCTTAAATGTTTTGTTGTCAGAATGCTTTGTATTCTTAAAAAGTATTAATAGCTCATATTTTCAAAAAACAATTTAAAAACAGTGAGAAAAGTGGTACTGTTTTACATTTTTACAAGTCTCTAATATCTGGCTTAATAGAAGGTAGCTTGGGTTCTCATTTCTGCTTTTGCATTCAGTCTGTTTTGCTATCAAATGTCATAGAGTCTCTCGAAAACTCTACTGTGCCCTTTGCAAAACAGTGAAAAGGAAGATGGTGAATGATGTCCTAGTATGGCTATAAAAATAGTTTTGACCTCATAAATTCCATGTGAGGTCCTTAGGTACCCCCAGGTCCTCAGATCACACTTTCAGAACCAGTGGTTTTGTAGACAGTACCTTTAGAGTTAGGCAGATCTGAGAATGAATGCTATTCTTTCCACTTTCTGGCGTATAATTCTGAACAAATCACTTAACTTCTCTAATCCTTAGTTTTCTCATAAATTGTTAGAGGTAATGCTATCTATTGACTAGGATTGTGTAAGGAAGAGAGATAATATTGTGTTTATTAGCACAGAGCATGGCACAAAGGAGTTGTCTGACAATAAGTTAACTACTGTAATCATAAAGAGAATACTTGTTTTTTCTCTTATTTTCATCCTTACCCTACTTTCAATATTTGCTATTTCCCACAAACTTTAAAGAAGCTCTTACCTATTTATGTAAGCAACCAGCTGTTTTGGAGATTTCTTAACCTGAAAAATGGAAGTAGACAGTTGTAGCATATTTAAGTTGTTTAATAGAGTTATGTAAATTTTATGATTGACATCAAGAAATCTAAATTTCAACAGTTAGGTTATTTCTGGCAAAGCAACATATCTCTCTCCGTATTTTCCATGCCACTAGTCACATATTATACTGTATATAGGGTGCGTGACAAGTGAATTTTAATATTTTTAATAATTTAAAAACATAATCTTCTTTTTTAGAGGTGGGGTCTCACTATGTTACCCAGGCTAGTCTCAAACTCCTGAGTTCAGGCAATCCTCTCACCTCAGCCTCCTGAGTAGCTGAGACAACAGGCTCATGCCACTGTGACTAGCTTTTTAGTATGTTTTAAAAGAAATTATAGGGCCGGGCGCGGTGGCTCAGCCTGTAATCTCAGCACTTTGAGAGGCCGAGGCAAAAGGATTGCTTGAGTCCAGGGGTTCAAGACTAGCCTGGGCAACTTGGTGAGATCTCATCTTTACAATAAATCACAAAAACTAGCTGGCCATGGTGGTGTGTGTCTGTAGTTCCAGCTACTTGGAAGGCTGAGGTGGAAGGTTCACCTCAGTCCAGCAGGTCGAGGCAGAGGTGGCTGTGACCGTGCCACTGCACTCCAGCCTAGGCGACAGAGTGAGACTCCTACTCAAAAAAGAAAGGAAGGGAGGGAGGGTGGGAGAATTTATAGCAGTGGTAATAAGCCTTGCAATCGTGAAAAATAAAAACATTTCTGAGATTCCTCTTAAACTAAAACATTCATATTATATCATATCAAAACAGTATACTAACCAAAAAGTTTTTAGAGCTTTAAAAATATAATGGTTAGGCCTGGTGTGGTGGTTTATGCCTATAATCCCAGCACTTTGGGAGGCCGAGGTGACAGGATTGCCTGAGCCCACGGGTTTGAGAACAGCCCAGGCAATTTGGTGAGACCTCATTTCTACAATAAATAAAAAAATTAGCTGGGTGTGGTGGTGCTTGCCTATATTTCCAGCTATTTGGAAGGATGAGGTGGAAGGATCACCTGAACCCAGCAGGTTGAGGATGTAGTGGCTGAGAGTGTGCTACTGCACTCCACGCTGGGCGAGAGAGTGAGACTCTGACAAAACAAACAAACAAACAAACAAAAAAAACCACACACACAATTATATATATGGTTATACTTCATTTATTCTACTAAGTTGAGATTAAGCATAATTACTCTCCATTGTTTAAACAACCTACTCAGAATTATCTATAGATGTCACAGTTTAAACTGTCTTACCTGTTACCTAAAAGTATAGACTTACCTCCTTCATGTTCTTTTTAGTGAAATTAGAGATCTTTTTCCTAGGAAGATCAATGGAATGATCCTCAATATTATTACAAAAGTTTCGTTTTTTAACATTGTGGGTTTCAGATGCCATCATCTCTTAAATACCTAGATAAAAAAATAATAAGAATAAAAATGTTAAAAGCGCAGTGATCATTTCTTTAACACACACACAAACATAACAACAATGGTACCACACTATGTAAAAGAGGTTTACAAGTAAAGCACAGGATATATTTTTAATTTTTACATTTTTGGAAGTCTTAAACTCAGAGGAGGCACAAGGCGTGGGATCCCCGGAAATTATGGCTCTTTTTGTTCTCATTCTTTAGTTGCAACCAGTTATAATTTTTGTCAAAGCAATATTTCACTCTCTCCATTTTTCATACCACCAGACATTTACCAAATGCACAGGTTATAAAATCAGAACTATAAAATCTGTATCTAGCCAGGCTTGGTGGCTCAGCCTGTAATCCTGTGCCTTTGGGAGGCTGAGGTGAGTGTATTGCCTGAGTCTGCGGGGTTCGAGACCCGCCTGGGCAGCAAGACCTCATCTCTACAATAAATTAAAAAAATCAGCCGGGCGTGGTAGCGCATGCCTGTAATTCCGGCTACTTGGAAGGCTGAGGCAGAAGGACTGCCAGAGCCCAGTAGGTCGAGGCTGCAGTGGCTGGGAGCGGTCACTGCACTCCAGTCTGGGCGACAGAGTGAGACTCCAACTCAAAAAATAAAAAATAAAAAAAATCTGTATCTATGACATCCAAATGTATAGAAACCTAAAATTTTGGAGTCAAATAATCACTAGGTCAAATACAACCCTAAGTAGTCAGAGGAACGAAACCTGGACTACATATATCTGACTTGTCCTATGCCTAATCCTTAAAATTGTCTTTCATTTCTTGCAGCTAGCTCTCTAGAGTGTACCTTTACCTTTGGAAAGCATAATTTGTGCTCCCTTGTTTCCCTAATTATAGCCAAAGAGGGAGAGGAAGTGGAAACAGATACTATGACTCCATTTACATAACAGAGGAAATTAGTGATTGCCTCACTTGCACTCTGGTTTCACATAGAAAATTTATTTTAGGTCATTCCCTAAACACATGCTCCTCCTTTATCCTTTATTTAAACACCTATTAAGCATTCACTGCATGCCAGGCCTGGAGTTACTGTAGATGATGCTCAGAGGTCCTTCTAAAGAATCATCTAGGACATTTTTTGAGAATGTACCTTGCTGGGCCCTAATTTCTGAGATTATAACTCAGCAGGTCTCTCTGAAATGGAGCCCAAAGCAATTAGGTTTTTAAAAAAAGTTTCACAGGCATTTGTAATGCATACTCTGAATTATCCAAAAATATAAACATATACATGAAAATTTGCCAGTAATTTTAGTGTATTCTAAGATCTCTTGCAGCTAATCCATGGACAGCCCTTCCAACTGTATCCCCAGGTTAAGAAACCTCTAGGGCAAGATTTTTTTAAATGTAAACAATTACAATAATACAATAAGCACTCTGTCAGAGGGGCATCCAGATGAGTTAGCAAAAAGCTTAACTGAGAAATGTCTTAAAAAATAAATAGCAGGCTGGGTTTGGTGGCTTAACCTGTAATCCCAGCACTTTGGGAGGCCTGAGCCCACAGGTTCGAGACCAGTCTGCGCAACTTGGTGAGACCTGCCTCTACAACAAACAAACAAACAAACAAACAAACAAACAAATAGGGGGACATAGTGTGCGCCTGTAGTTCTGGCTACTTGGAAGGCTGAAGCGGAAGGATCACTGGAGACCAGCAAGTTCACTGGGGTGGCTGTGAGTGTGCCACTGCACTCCAGCCCAGGCGACAGAAACTCCAACTCAAAAAATAAAAAAACAGAATAAATAGCACACTAAGAAAATAGCAAGTACAGAACTGAAAGGCATGAAGCAACATGGTTTGTTTGGCAATCTCTTAAGTAGATACTTGTGGTTGGAGCTTAGGCTAGGGGCCAGTTGCAGTGGAGTAAGAAATGAGGCCAGATAGACAGAAGCTAGTTCCTAAAGGGTCTTCTCCACAATGCCACAGCAGATCTAAGAAAGCAAAATCATAAATCAACATTGAGGAAAAGTGAAAAACAGAATCTCCACCAAAAGTTCAGGAACTGGCAATACCAAAGTTATCAAGAATTAGAGATAAGGGTGACCCTATAACAAGTAGATAGAATATCCATTTAAATCACAGGCCTGGCGTGGTGACTCATACCCATAATCCCAGCACTTTGGGAGACAGAGGGGCAAGAGGATCACCTGAACTCAGGGGTTTGAGACCAATCTGAGCAACATGGAGAGACCGTGTCTCTACAATAAGTCAAAAAATTAGCCGGGCATGGTGGCACATGCCTGTGGTTCCAGCTGCTTGGAAGGCTGAGGCAGTAGGATTGCCTGAGCCCAGCAGGTCAATTACTTGTAATTCCAGCACTTTGAGAGGGTGAGGTGAGAGGATCACTAGAGCTTGGGAGTTTGAGACCAACCTGGACAACATAGCAAAATCTCATTCTTGTAAAAAAATAAAAAAAGAATTTAAAAAAATTAGCTGGGTGTGGTAGTACATGCCTGTAGTCCTAGCTACTTGGGAGGCTGAGGCTGGAGGCTTGCTTGAATCCAGGAGTTGGAGGCTACAGTGAGCTATGATCGTACTGGGTGACAGAGTGAGACCCTATCTCTCAAAAAAAAAAAAAGGGGGGGGGGGGAGGGGGAAATGCAAAACAGAGTCCTTGGGATGGAAAACATCAGGCACAGATGAGGGTGAAAGGAACATATAAATATTGGCATAAATGATGATCAAAGCTTCCAAAGAACTCTTCTGTAAAGATATAATAAACTATGAGGTAAGATTTGCACACTTCACTCAAACTGGTAAAATGACCACACTAGTAGACAGTGGTAAGGTCATGTAGTATAATGTAATATCACAGCTGTCAACAAAAAAGCTGTATCAAGAATTATACTCAAAAACACCTATAGTATGTCAAAATGGAATAATAAAAATGTTCAAGTAACCTACAGGAAGGCAAGAAAAAGAAAAACAGAGAAATCAAAGAACAGAGAGAGAACAGAAAACAAAAATAAAGTGGTGGATATATCAATAATTATATTATATGCAAATGGTCTAAACGCATCAGTTAAAAGCCAGAGTTTGGCAGAGTAGATTAAGAAACATAACCTAACTATGTGATGCCGACAAGAAACTCAATTCCAATATGATAATATAGGCAGGTAGAGAATAAAAAGAAGAAAAAAAATGTATCATGCAAATGTTAGCTTTCTAAAAGCAGAAGTTGCAAGATTAATATCAAATAAAGATGTTAAAGCAAAGAAAATTATCAGAGACATAGGGAGAACATTATATAGTGATAAAAGGGTCAATCTGTCAAACATACATAGCAATCTTAAATGTGTATGCACCAACAGCACAATTGAAAAATACATGATGCAAACATGGACAGGATTGACAGGAAACACAGACAAATCCACAATAATACTGGAAGACTTCAACATTCCCTCTCCACAACTGACAGAATAACTAAACAAATTCCGCAAGATTACAAGAGAACTTAACACAAAACCATCGCATCAACCAACCGGATTAAATCAACATTTATAAAACACTCAACTCAGCAACAACAGAATACACATTACTTTCAAATACTATTGAACATATTCTAAGGACTATATCCTGGATTATAAAACAAACCACAACAAATTTATTTTTGTGGAACACAACTAAAACAGTGGTGAGGAAAATTTGCATCAGTGGTGCCTGTGGTCTCAGCTACTTGGAAGGCTGAGGCGGAAGGATTGCCTGAACCCAGCAGTTTGAGGCTGCAGTGGCCGTGAGCGTGTCACTGCACTCCAGCCTGGGTGACAGAGTGAGATTCCGACTCAAAAATTAAAAAACATCAAAATATTAGCTGGGCATGGTAGTATGCACCTGTAGTCCCAGTTACTCAGAATGCTGAGGAAAAAGTATTACCTGAGCCCAAGAGGTAAAGGCTGTGGTAAGCCGTGATTGTGCCACTGCACTCCAGCCTGGGCAACAGACTAACTCAAAGACAAACAAACAAACTTAGAACTAATGTATTGACTTGAAAACATTATGAATTCCCCTAGTACTAAAACCAAACACATGACAAGAAAACTACAGACTACCAGCAGACACTCTTGCTCCTATCCTGCCTGTTGTGCCCTTCACAACATATCTTCTCTTAATAAATCTACCTTTCTTAAAAAGAAAGAAAGAAAACTACAGACTAATTTCTCATTAACATTGATCCAAAAATCCTCAACAAAAAATTAGCAAACAAAAAAATCAATTAATCTATCACATCAGATAAAGGCTAAAGAAACAAGTTACACAATCAAATCAATAGATGCAGAAAAAGCATTTGATAAAATCCAACTCCTTCATGATAATTTTTTTTCCTATTGAGTTGTCTGAGCCCTGCATATATATATATATAGTTATCAATCTCTTGTCTGATGGGTGGCTCGTAAATATTTTCTCCCATTCTGTGGGTTATCTCTTCACTTTGTAGATTGTTTCCTCTGCTTTGCAGAAGATTTTTAGCTTGATTTGATCCCACTTGTCCATTTTTGTTTTGGTTGCCTGTGCTTTTGAGGTTTTAAGAAAGAGTAGACAGACCAATGTCCTGAGTGTTTCCTCAATGTTTTCTTCTAGTAGTTTCATGTCTTAGATTGATAGATTTAAATATTTAGCCCACTTTGATTTAGTTTTTTTATAGGGCAAGAGATTTCATTCTGCATATGGATATTCAGTTTTCCCAACATCATTTATTAGAGACTGTCCTTTCCTCAATGTATATTCTTGGCATATTTGTCAAAAAAGAGCTGACTGTAGGCTGGGCGCAGTGGCTCACACCTGTAATTCCAGCACTTTGGGAGGCTGAGGTGAGAGGACTGCCTCAGCCCAGAGCTCTAGACCAGCCTGGGCAACTTGGTGAGACCTTGTCTCTATAATAAATCAAAAACTTAGCCGGGTGTGGTGGCGCGCACCTGTAGTTCCAACTACTTGGAAGGCTGAGGTAGAAGGATTGCCTGAGCCCAGTGGGTCGAAGC